GGAAGCCCGGAAGTGTGACTTTGTAGGTGGCGTCATGGCTTCCCAGAAGGTGAGCCGTGTAAAGAGTGTCCACACAAGCCTCTTGACACAAAGCAGTTAGCTCACATGGGCAGAAAAGAGTAGCTTTTGAGGTCGTTTTCTGTACTTGGGCCTCAACCAGGTTGGAAAAAATTTTAAGACAAGTAATTTGACTCAGAAGTTAAAGAAAAATCCTGCTAAAAGTAAAGATTTGTGTGGCTCATATTTAATAGAATGCCTTGGAACCAGGTCTTCCACGTAGGCACACAGAGATTTCTATCCTTGGCGATGTCCCCAAAAGCAAAGTTTCTGGATCACTTCCTGGGAGAGCATCTGAGATGGGAGTCGTCATCGTTAAGGATTCCATTTGCTCAGTGTGAGTCAGGCCCTCTGATCCTAGTGTTTTCTGTTCCCATTACTGCTTTATCCTCACAGGAGCCATGCAAGGAAGATGGTGGGTCCCCATCTTCTTTATGACAATACCGAAGTGCCAAGAGGTGATCCATGCTCTTTCCTCTCTCCTCAGTGAAGGCCCCATGTTTAGAAATGGTTGTCCCATACCTCTCAAAAGCCCCAAAGCAAAAAGTTGTTGACACAAACCCTTTGGTCCTTAAGAAGTTAGGAAGAAAACAAATAGGAAGGAAATTTGCTATTCCTTAAATGCATAACCATTAGAAAGCCACTTAATCTCCCTGAGCTTTGGTTTCTTAATTGGGCTGTTATAAAGAGTCAATTAAAGTACATCAGAGCATTGAGCACGGAGCCAGGCATATGGTAGGTGTACTTATTGACTTACATTTAGCTGTTTAACTGTTAGTAAAAAAAACAATACATTTCTTGTTGAAGTTACTCAGGAGAAATCATTAACACATTCTATCCTGATGGCTCATTTTTGGACCTGGCTGTCTTCATGTATTCCCAGCTGAATAAGCTGCCATTGCTTCGACTTGATTGAAAGACAGGGAGACCATTACCAGCTTGGCCTATAGCTCCTTGCCTGGCAAATTGTTGACCTTAGGCAGGTCTTTAAGTTCATCAAAGCAGTCTCTTCAGGTACAACCCAGAAGGACCGGATCTGATGGGGGAGGTCTGTGTGCAGAGGTAGGATTCCTGTATGTGGCTGTATCACTCACTGCTGGGGAAACTTCGACAAATGTGTACTCCAATAAAGGATTGCTGGGTGGTTTCCCCTGTTCACCCAGCAGAAATCCTGGGGCATCCTCAGTAATCTCTGAAAGTCTGGGGCCTGGTAGAAGAATCCTTTCCACTCTGTGTTCACTGCTAATGTCTAGACTGCCAGACATTTGAGATTTGGGCATCTTTGTGAGTGTGAAAGACAAACTCTGTATCCCAGACTGTGTAGTGGGAAGAGCATGCGTTTTGGATCTCAGTAGCCCAAGATTGAAATCCTAGCCGTGCCGCTTATTTGCTCTGTGGATTTGGAGACTTCCTTGCCTGTCTGTAAAATGGGGATAATAGTACCTCACTCACAGAGTGGGTGAAAACTAAACGGTATAAAGCTGACATACAAAAAGTCCTCCGAAACAGTAGTGCTGGTGGGAATAACTCATTTCTCCTAGACCACTGTCAAAGACAGGATTTAGTGAGGCCTGGAGGTAGGAGGGGAGGAAGAAAGAATCAAGAGCTGTTAAATTATCTGGTGAGAGGGATCACATTTGAATATACAGGCATCTTGTTCTTAAAATGGTCCTTTTCTAAAGAGCAGAGGCCTGAAATCTAGCGGAGTCGTTTCAGCAGGGAATGTTCTCTCTCCAGAGTAACTCCCAGGCCCGCAGCCCGCTGTGCTTCAGGCTTAGTGGTTCCCAGCAGGCCTGTCTTTCAAGTGTGACTTCAGCCCCCTCTAAAGTGAGTGGCCTGGTAAAGTGTCCACCTGTGCTGAACTGTGTTTCCTGCAAAACCTTCAAAGCATTCTCTTTCCCCAGGAGGGTGTGACTTATTGAAAACGCAGAACTAGAGTTTGCACAGTAAACAAACAATAACTGTGGACTCCTTTAGCAAACCTAACTGGTCAGTTGGAACCTCGCATTTAGTTTTTAATTCCTCTAGGCCTTTATCATTCACTGCTTTATGAAGGGTCTTTATTGGCTAAGGAAGTGTAACTGAGCTCTTTAACCACCCAGGTGTTCAGTGCGATTGATTCCTTAGTGAAATGAGACAGCTTCAGTAATAGTGGATATGAATTTCTTTAATAGATTTCTCTTTCTTTCAGCTTAACGTTCTCCATACAGAGCTGGCCAAACAGTTGGCAGACACAATGGTTCTACCCATAATACAGTTTCGAGAAAAGGATCTCACAGGTAAAGTAACTGAATTCAGTGCCGATTACCTTCAAAATATTGATTCATTTAATAGTAATTCTTACTGTACTAGTTTCTTTAAATGTGTGGCTCATTGAGAAATGCCCTTTCTTTTTGCGCAGTTTAATTTAGCTAACTTTTATTGAATCCCCACTGTTTTTGGTTCACCCAAAGAAGGTTCCAGGCTAACAAAACAGTCCTGGAAAATGACGATTGTAGTATCACGTGAGGAGGGCAGCAGGCAGAGATGATCAGGGAATAGCACCAGAACAGACAGGCTTCATGACCCTTTTGAGGATAGGGTACCAGGGAAGCCTTCCTGGAGAGGATGAGCTGTAAGCTGGGTTTTAAGAGAGAAGTTAGTGTTTACCACAGACAGATGGCAAGGCTCGTGTTACCGATTGGGAGCATTTGTAAGGGCACACTGTTCTTGGGGAACCATGAATGCTTTGGAGTGTAAAGTGGGGGCGCTTGGAGAGGACAGGGAGGGGTGGGGCCCATGCGAGAGATTCTAGGGGTGCAGCTGTGAACCAGCGGACAGGGTCTCTGTTCTCCTAGAGCTCACTTAGTGAGTGTGGGGTATCTGTGACTACTCCAGAGCACCTAGTTGCCCTTTTGGACTAATTTTTTTTTTCCTCCCACTAAAATAAAAACTTTGGAATAATTTTGTAACTCTTTGAAATCAAGGTAGTCAAAAAATGAATATAACAAGGAACAGGTAATCTTGAAAAACTAGTCGACATTACCAAAAGGAATCTAAATATTCTAGTTCTTTTGTTTCTTATTTCAGTAGAAAATATTCATTGCTTAGAGATTAAAGAATTGTATTTTTTATATCAGTATTTCAGAACACTGATATAAAAAATGCTGACCAAAAACTAAACCTGAGTACTAAAAGATCTCCTCGGTTTAGTGCTGCTTTAGAAATATGACACAGGCTCCAGTGAGGCCAGGATTCCCAGCCGCCCCACGAGGCCCGGGCCCCTGAGGGGCTTACCGGCAGAGCCTACCCCCTTCCACGCAAACACCTTTTATTTTCCTGGGAAAGCATAGAGCTCTGGGTTTTCTTGTTTTATTTGCATTTGCTCTAAGATGTTTCTTTTCTCTTGTTCAGAAGTAAGCACTTTAAAGGACCTTTTTGGACTCGCCAGCAGTGGTAGGCATCCTCTCCATTCTTGGTGTGTGGTTTTAGTGATGCCTGTGGGTTTACTGTGTCTGTGGGCAGAGACGCTGAGTGAATGTTCTAGTCTTTTAACCCGTCCGGGGGCTAAAATGTCTCTTTACTTTTAGAGCACGACCTCTCAATGGCAAAATATAGCAGGCTTCCCAAAAAAAAGGAGAACGAAAAGGTAAGAACACCTGCCTTCCAAGTGGTTTTTCCCATCATTTAAAGTCTTTTCGTGTCTTCCCTTTGTGAATTTGTGGCACTGAGGGTGTCGTGATGAATTTCTTTTTTTTTTCCCCCTGTATATGGATTTTTAAATTATTTATTCTGAATCTGATAAATAAATTTCCACTTTCCAATGCCAGCTTTTCAAACTGGTTTTCAAACACCAACTTGGAAACATTGTAAAATTGTAAAATTATAATCACACAATGATTTTAACTTAAGCTTGGTACTTCATGTGATCATCTGAGTCATAAACACTCAGGCTCTTGAACTCTTTGCCCTGGGTGTTGACCCTGGTTCTTTAACCCATGCTTCCCAGGTTTTTTGCTACTTTAAATAATATGTTTATAGGCATTTAACTTTTATTTCTGTGAATGATTTCCTTCGAATACAATGTTTGTGGCTTTCAGTGCCTTCTGCCAGTTGTTTTCCTGAAGGATCGTAGTGCTTTGCAGTGCTACTGGCAGAAAGTTCTGGCTTCACCCCAGGGCAGTCTACAAACACTGAGATGCTTTCACTTTGATGCTTTTAATTTGGATTTCTTAAAACATGAGGTGGAACCTTATCTGTGTCTTATTCTGTTTGTCACCAAAAAATGGTTCTGACGTCGAAACAAACCTGTTTTGAAGTTGTGTGCTCTCGCAGAACTGCCAGGCCCATTAGAGGTGACATTTTCCTCTCGCCTCGTAATCAGGTGAAGACTGGAGTTGTGAAGGAGGTGGTGGCCGCCCGGCGGAAGCAGCACCTGGCGTCCCTCCAGTACTACTGCGCCCTCAACGCTCTGCAGCACAGGAAGCGCGTGGCCATGATGGAGCCCATGATAGGCTTTGCCCACGGACAGGTAGGGCAGCCTTTCCCGGAGGCGCAGGCCTGAGCCAGCTGTGGAGGACGGCATGGCCTTCTGCTAAGGTAGCAGAGCACAAGCTGAGGCATCAGCAGAGAAAGGAACGCAAATGCACACCCTCCCTGGAAACTTGCCGAGTGAGACTCGGCACTTGGAGCGCTTCCAGTTGGGCTGGGTCGCCGTTCGCAGGACTCGTTAGGCTGTACGTGCGGGAAACGACGGCCTCGAGCCCACGCCTCCCGTGGGGAGGAGCTGGTGTGGCCCTCTGTCTCTGATCCAAGTGCGAGCCAGGCCTGGCCTGATTGCCTGAGAAGCAGTTGGCCGGTCGGTCGGTAGGGCCAGGCTTGTAGCCTGGGACTCCACACATTCCTTTGCCGCTCTCTGTGGTGAGGTCACCCTGAGCTGGGCTGTTCTCAAAGGCTCCGTCGCCGAGGTTATTGCCAGCACCTTGGCGTCTGGGGCGTGGGGAACGATGTCAGTCCTTGATGACGTCTCTGTAGGGCGTTTGTTTGGTTCTTGCCCCAGTTAGGGGTCTGTGGAACATCTGCAGGGAGCCTCTAGTGTCAGTTTGGGGCCTGACCGTGTGTCACCAGCCTGGCAGGGGCAGGAGTGAGGGTGAATGTGAGGCGAGTGGCACCGCCTGTCACCCCCCATCCCTGCCCTGCTTTAGCCCCACTTAATGTCGACTCCAAAGCTCACTCCAGCATGTGACAGACGCACCCAGGAACCTGCTCTCAGCTGATGATCTAGGTACAGAAAGAGATGCGAGGAAGCAAAATGTCGAGAAGAAAAAAGTCAGCAACTTTTTAAAAAACCCACATGCGAACGCCTATTATTTTTATAATACATTTTAAAAATACGTCTATTTCAAAAAAAAATATGTAACAGTTTCATTCAGGGAAAAGGGCAACAAGAGAGGATCTTTAAACATGCAAGTCCAGTTGTCTGGCATCTTAACATGGTGGTTGCGTTGTTGAATGATGAAAGACAGTAAAGTCAGCTTGTGCCTTCAGAGGTAATATTTAAATAGAGCAATATAATCTTTGTGTCGTCTGAATAAAGCGGGTTAAGCCCAAAATGAGCGCTGTCCAGCTGTGGGCTCCAGCCCTCAGCAAACCCTTGGGAGCCGGCCATCTGCCTCACGCTGGGCACGTGTGCCCACACGCGTGTCCTCGCTCACTGCGTTGCCCCCTCTCTCCTTCCATTAAGTGCTGCTCCTCTGCGCTGGCGAATGACCCAGCTTTGTTAGAGAATGCCGGTTTTCCCTTTGCTCTCCTCCCTCCTCCCTCCTGTCGCGTCTGTCCTCCCTGGACTGGCAGCCCTGTCTTTGGGGCAGTAATCCCTGCTATTAGAGGCCCAGGGTCAGGGACAGTCTCGGAAGGGCAGCAGGCCCGATCGGTCAGCGCTTGAGGAGCCTGGTTAGTTACGAGGACCTTAAAAAATCTAAAGGACGGGCTTGATACTGGCTGATTTCCCCCTTTTTCATGGCCAAGAACTACCCCACTTCTCCCAGGCTGGACTTTTTAAGCGAGTGCTGCTGGCCCCAAGGGAGAAGAGGAGACGGGTGCAGTAGCTCAGATGCCGCCCCGGGAAGCAGAACAGAGTGCACTTGTCGTTGTTGGGTGGCGGTAGCATCGTTGTTGAGGACTGAGGATGACACGTCTCATTCTTCACATGAAGAATATCCAGGTTTCAGGACGTAACGACCACATAGCTCCTCACCTGCAGACCTTTTAATCCCAATGAAAACTAGTTCCTTCTCTTGGACCAGGCTGTTACCGAACCCCACGAATCTTTGGACGGTTCCAAAGAATTCGCTCTCCTTGTGCTTCATCAGCCCTTTTAAATCTGTCATCGAGCATCCACCCTTGTTAGGCGATGATCATGTGACCTTTGTCCTCCCCACTGCTCACGAAGGCACGTGAACTTTGGTCTTTGGATGATATGTTCCACTGAGTCAGACTTCTCAGCCTACCTTATGGGAGGCATTTGACTCCATTTCTGCCTTCCCTGGCCCTCGTTAAGCAGGTTTTCGATTAAGTCATGATTTAGTCCTCATGCCTGCAAACGGAGGTTTTGTAATCTGTGTACAGGTTAATGAGAGCGCACCAATGAACTCCAGTGTAGTATTTCCAGGGTAAGTAGCGTGTGATGTG